TTTTTTGTGTTTGAAGCTTTACAATGGCCTCACCTGCATGTTCAGCTTCTTTTGAACACCTGATGTAGATTCACATCAATAGTCCAAATACCCCACTTAGAATCAACTCCAGACCTTCTGCCTGCTTAATTGATGGAGTAGCCCACACCTGGCCATGAAATCACTTTTTGATTCAATTGTCCAACTACTTTTGGTCCCTTGAAAAAAGGATGGCTTCCCTTAAGAGCTGTAATTTCCAAACCGTTCCTCCCAATTTGGATGTACAGTGAAGGAAATAAGTATTTGATCCCCTGCTGATTTTGAATGTTTGCCCACTCACACAAGATCAGTCTAAAGTCAAATGGCAGATGTATTGTAAACACAGAATAGCAAATTCAAATGATGCACTGATTTCCATGTTCATGAGGGAAATAAGTATTTGATCCCCCTTTACAAAACATGACTTGGTACTTGTTGGCAATCAGATCAGATGTTTCCTGTAGTTGGCCACCAGGTTTGCACACATCTCAGGAGGGATTTTGGCCCACTCCACTTGCCAGATCCTCTCCAAGTCCTTAAGGTTTGGCAACTCAAACTTTCAATCGGATTAAGGTCTGGAGACTGGCTAGGCCACTCCAGGACCTTAATGTGCTTCTTCTTGAGGCAATCCTTTGTTGCCTTGGCTGTGTGTTTTGGGTCCTTGTCATGCTGGAACAACCATCCACAACCCATTTTCAATGCCCTGGTTGAGGGAAGAAGGTTCTCACTCAAGATTTGATGGTACACTGCCCCATTCCCCCCCCCCCCCCCCCCCCCCCCCCCCCCCCCCCCCCCCCCCCCCCCCCCCCCCCCCCCCCCCCCCCCCCCCCCCCCCCCCCCCCCCCACTTTTTTTTTTTCTTCAATGTCCTGTCCCCTTAGCAAAAAACACCCCTATAGCAGAATGTTTCCACCACAATGTTTGACAGTTGGGATGGTGTTCTTGGGGCCATAGGCAGCATTCCTCAAACACAGCAAGTTGAGTTGATGCCAAAGAGCTAGATTTTTGGTCTCCTCTGACGACCATACTTTCAACCAGTCATCTGTATCATTCAGATGTTCAGTGGCAACCTTCAGACATGCCTGGACATGTGCTTTCTTGAGCAGAGGGACCTTGCAGGCACTGCAGGATTTCAATCCTTGTTGGCATAGTGTTACCAATTTTCTTGTTGACTGGTCCCAGCTGCCTGGAGATGATTTCTTACTGTTCTTATGATCATTCTCACTCCACAAGGTGAGATCATGCATAGTACACCAGACCTAGGGAGACTGACAGTTTTGTGTTTCTTCCATTTGCAAATGATTGCACCAACTGTCACCTTCCCACCAAGCTGCTTGGCAATAGTTTGGTAGCCCAGTCCAGCCTTGTGTAGGTGTACAGTATTTTCCCTGACATTCTTGGACAGCTCTTTGGTCTTTGCCATGGTGGAGAGTTTAAAATCTGATTCTTTGTTCCTGTGGACAGGTGTCTTTTATACAGGTAACAAAATGAGATTAGCAGCAATCCCTTAAGAAACTGCTTCTAATCTCAGCTTGTTACCTGTATACAAGACACCTGGTAGCCCAAAATCCTGCTGAGTGATGGGGGATCAAATACTTATTTCCCCTCATGAACATGCAAATAAGTGCATAATTTGTTAGACATGCGCTTCTTTTGAATTTTCTGTTGCTATTCTGTCTGTTACAATACATCTACCATTCGGGATTGTGGTGTGTGTTTTTTTTTTTTTTTGTGCACTTTCAGCCCATACCCATTATAAACTGGTCCCTGTGATGCCCAATAGGAGGGTTGGGAAAGCAAAATCTTATTAGGTGTCCTCTTGTACAAGAATGGGTGGAGTTTATGACCTCACTGGAAATAAAGAGAACATCTTCAGAGGCTTGTGGGGTCTTTCCAGCACAATACATTACCAAATGTCCAATCATCTTGGCTAGTATAAGGTTTATCTAAATGTCACTAGTTAAACCCCATTGGGGGCTTGTTTCCATTTTGGGGAGATGAGATGTATTGCTTTTGCCAAGAAAAGGGCAGGCATCCATCTGCCCGTGCAAGGTAGGGTGTATGAATATCCAGACTGACCAAAACAGAATCAAATACTTGGGAAGGTAATGCAGGTCAAGTACATGTATTTAACCTGTAGATTTACACTTTTACTGGCTTTTCTTTAACAAATATGAATTGATGTTTTGAAAGGCATGTGCACAGCACAAAATAGGTGTACATTCATTTTCATAAATTTAGATTTGTGGTTCTTGCTAAAGCATTTCTTCAGTCCTCCCTGAAAAGCAATTCATAGCTTTGTAATCCTATATAGTAGACTAAGTTGGGTGAGAAGCCAAAACGAATCAAGTGGTTAATATACACCCTGGTTCTTGTAGGTTCAGTGTCTACGCACCACTAGGTTCTATTACATTTATGATTAATTAATGGAGCTGAACATCAAAGAACTGTGCCTTGGATCCCATGTTCTCTGTGGTTTCATTCATTGGCTGCAGGATAGTAACTGGTGTGTTCAGTCGTTCAGCACTGTGGTGGATTCCATAGCCAAAATAGATAACAAAACCTGTAGGGGGGGGAAGAAGAAGAGAAAAAAAATAACTGCCATAGTCTGCATTATGTATGTGTTGTAAAGATGTTAGGATGTATATAGTAGCTAACTAGTGTTCTTGGAAAATGCATGTTATTTTTCAGGGAAACAATAGCTATGAACAGAAGACATGGTCTTATTTTTTTTTTTGGCTCAAACACATGGTCTTATTTTTGGGGTAGGTCTTATATTTTTTTTTTTTTTTTTTATGTCCAAGTGCGGACAGGGGGTGCAGAGGTGAGCTGCAGGCAGTTGTGGATGAGGGTTACTATGGAGAGAACCGGTTGATGACAGTTGTGAGTTGCAGGGGTGACCTGACAGGTGAGTTTCAGACATGGTGCAGATATGAGCCACAGACAGGGTCTAGGGGTGAGTTGCAGATGTGAGCCGTGGCTGGGGGGTGCAAAGGTGGGTTGCAACTCAGCTCACCTCTGCACCCCCACAACCCCCTCCCCTGTCAGAATGCAGTGGTCAGTGGGAGACATCCCTGCATCAGCATCGCTTGTGTTGTTGTGGGAACCTGTCTGGGTGTGGTGGTTTCGTGTTTTTTTTTTTTTAAATAAAAAAATGTTACTTACCAATCACCATCCAGATAGCATAACGGAGCCATGTGTCTGCACTCAGCTGAACCATCAAATATATGTTAACTAGGATGCTCAGAACGGGTAAGAATGGCAGACACGGAACCTACAAATAACACCAATGTATGAGAATTTGTCTGACTGACCAGATGCTACATATTTTACAAGGCAGTATTTTATATATTGATTTTAATTTTTTGACAAGGTGCATTATACTAACTTTTTTGTTTTAGCTCTCATTTATATACATGCAGAAACAATTGAATTATGTTGAACTGTGCACCAAATTAAAAAAGGGGAAAAAAAAAAAAAAAAAACAACCCACAATAGGAAAAGAGACGAAAAGTGTAAAAACTCACCATGAATGCAGCTCTGCTCTGGTTTTGTGGTTGCCTCCAAATAAGGAGGGTAATTGCTACAATACCAAGGAGTGCCAGAGCAAGCAGAATAATGCACCAGAGTACACCAGCCAGGATGTATTGGGAACATGCTGTAGATACCACACTTGCTATACAGACCAGGACCGCTGCTGAAAAAAGATAACATTTATTTCTATGAATCTGTTTTTCTGTCAACTGATTAGATATTTTTTTCCCTCAAAGTGTATGCTATGAGCTTTATTAGTCTTCGATTGGGGAAGGATTGGAACACCCCAAATCAAACATTTGTTTTCTGGGCTGCCTCCCTTTTTTTAGTTTAGTTAATGGCTTCACCAGACACGAATGAGGGAAAATCTGCAACCGCAACAAACACAAAGCTTTCATAAGTTCCAGCCTTCTCTACCCTACCTGAAAATTCTTTGTTGCTTTTGATGGGCTTGTGTGAACTGAGCCTAAATCAAATAGGATCAGCAGGAGACATTTGCTGACTGGTCTGCATGCTATGGCAAAGTAAGGGGAGCGAAGTATAGTACAAAATTCTGAGAGCACAAATGAAATACAGTCACTGTTTGGATATTCAGACAGCTGTGGGTGCTGAGGCTGTTTGATTACAATAACCAGCAGTGCAGATTCTTCCATCCTGGCTGTTTAGCATGGATGGAGAAATTGAATAATCTCTTGCTCAGCCCATGAGATCAACAGGTAATTTCTGTACTTGCTGAGAATGCGCTTAGCCTAAAACAATTAACACTTATGTAAATATATGACAAAGATATGTATACATATGCAAGATATAATAAAAAAAATTTTAAATGCATATTCTTTTGGCACCTTTGTAATTTATTAACACACAATAAATGAACATTGTGTTTAAGAGGGAGGGTAAGATGGGTTGGGTGAACGAGACATAAATATGAAGGAATAAGCACTTGTAGTTGCTCTTATCCTTGGGAACCTTAAGTAACAAACCTAAGAGGGCACACAGAAAGAGACACTGGTTGATGATGGTCAAAGGCACCATCACTGTACAATTTTAGCACAGGTGGTGACCAGAGTTCTCCCTCACTAGTGCAAAGGCTCACCAGCACACAAAGAGCACAGTTCTGGCACACTGACACAAAGAGCAGTCTAGGGCCTGTCCCTTTATTTTGGTTTTATTTTGGATGGGGTGTAGGGCAGTAAGGGATACTCCAGAACCACTAATAGAAATAAGAAGACAAACTTCTCTTTGTTGCAAATTTAAGTAACAGATCTGCTCAGCTCAGAGTATAATCCTCCTGTAAGAGACTAGTAGAGGCAAGAGGTATGTAACCTCAGGAGGGGAACTACATGACCCAAGTTCAGAGAATGGTTTTTCCCACGAGAAACTAGAGGAGACTGTGTATGCTCCGCTTGAGAAGAGCTGTTTGGCCCAAGCTAAGCGTAAAGTCTTTCCACGAAACTAATGGGGACTAGTTGGTATGTATGTCTCAGGAGAGAAACTACATGGCCAAGCAATCCCAATAGCACACCGTCACCACCAGGGGCGGACTGACAACTCATGGGGCCCCCGGACAATAGGGGATCATGGGGCCCCTGTGTCCTTGCCCAAACTCAAAAAAGCCTATGAAAAAGGTACCAGGGGCATATCATGGGGCCCCCTACTGACCCCGGGCCCTCAGGCAGTGCCTGAGTTTCCAAATGGTCAGTCCGCCCCTGGTCACCACAATCTTGCAGTAAAGAAGTACTCCTGAGGCTGGGAGAGAAACTGTATCCATTCAGTTTCCACCAGATGCCTCCAGGTCAGCAATGCAGACAGGATTCTCAGGGGAAATCTCAGGTTACCAGAGAGACCTTCTAGATGCAGGTCCCTCAGATGAACAGCAACTTGAAACAGCAGAAGGTAGCCATTCCACACCTAAACAGGTGGAATTCTTTCAACAGGTAGACACTGCTGTGCTAAAACTCAGATTATTTATGTGCTCCTCCCACCATTTTCCAGGCACACCTCCCCAGGAATTACTTGCAGAACAATAAGTATTCATGCTGCCCATTTGCCTTTCTCCACCCCTATATCCCAGAACATTCTAGAAGGCAGACCTGGAGCCTGTGAAATCCAGAAAAGCCAAAAGAAATCAACAACTACTCCAATGATTATAGAAGAGCAAAAAAAAAAGAACCACATTTGCCTAACATCCCAGCAACTTAACCAAGAGGATGCTACATCTACACGTAATATTAATTTAATCCAATTTAGTGTATTGTATAACATTTACGCCAATGCGTGGTTCTTTTATTGATGCAAAGACATATAGTCGGTGTGACACAGGTTCGTTCTTTACCATACAGAGCTGCTGAGTTAGATAAAGGTATCTATGTACACAAGATTGGATACAATACTGTGATGTTATTTGTTCATAACTGCCATATGAGCGCAATGGGATGTGTATGTGATACATTGTTGATCTGTAAGAAATGTTTGTTGTAAGCAATTGTAGCAATGTGTTTGCAGCAGGATTTATTATGTCTTAAGAACTTGCAGTTTGGATGAGTCTTTTTAATTAATCTTTTTAGTATCTTTATTGTTACTATTATTTTTTTATATCTTTTGATGAAGTACAGGTGTATGTGGTCTGGTTGTAATAAAAGAGTATTTCCACACTGCAGTTTTAACTCTACGGTTAAAGCGATAGTAAACCGCAGCAACAAAAAAAACACCACATACGAGCACATTATGATAGACTTGCCTGAAAATGAAACCCTCCAGTGGCAAGCTGTCACCACTGTAGGTACTTCCATCTTCACCCAGCCTTCCTTCCACATTTGCAGCATTTGGCGGTATGAATGGCCGAGCCACGATGACATCTCTGTAGCTCATGTGCGCAGGAGTCACTGTTTTCAGCACAGGGCTCTGAAGGAACGGCACGGTATGCCGTTCCTTCATGTGCCGGTGACATCACTGGCTGATTCTAAAGTAAATATCTCCTAAACAGTTCATGTGTAGGAGATATTTACTGTATCTATAGGTAAGCCCTATTATAGGCTCACCAATAAATGAAAATCAATCAAGGGAGTTTACTACCACTTTAAGCTTGACAGCGTGCAATGTGTTAGCAGGCAGAGAAGCAGGTGGAGCAGCCTTTGTGCTTGAAAATACCAATAAATCTTCATATCAGGATTTTATGATGGAAAGTGTCTTCTTTTTTCTTTGTTGGAAGGTTATCACTGATGGAAGTATACTACCCAAGGATGTAAATTTATATAGGTGCAAAACATTTCCCACAAACACTGACAAAAACTTGAAGTGCTCTTCTCGCTTTTATAGTATACATGATATGGCCAATCCTAGCAAAGACAATGAAGTCTCACATCTGATAGAAGAGTAGATTTTGTTTACCTAGTGCCATTACACTCCGAGATACCAGTACTGAGGAGCGAGTTGATCCAATAACTGTTGGCAGTGAATCTCTGATATCATGGCACTCTATGCTTCCATTAGTTGCTTGGGTAGTTTCTGTCTGGATCTGGTACCTAGCAGAAACAAAAATCACACTTGTCATCTTGCAGTAAAATTATGCGTCCGCAAAAGAGGTCACCATGGTTATGAAGGTTATAAGCTCATTTCCAAATATTATAGTGTATATAAACCCTAACACAGAGCTACTTGTATTTACTCCCTTTTGTGCTATTAAATACACCATTGAAAGTGTTTTGTAGTATCTGTTCAATAAATGCAAAAAGACACTTGTTGATCATGTCTGAAATTCAGAACTGTCCTGTCTACACAGACAAGAAGAACTGGAATCTCAAGCAGGGCCGCTGTTAGAAATAATGGGGCTCATACAGCCTGACAGGGGCCCCCAGCCCAGGTGGGTGTGCGGGTGCAGGTATATGACCCCAAACATGGCGTCAGTAGCATGACCAAACCACTCATTTGTATGGCCAGTGTATCTGTGTAAATGAGTCCATAATTATGTTTTCTAAATTATTTTTTAATTTTTTTTTTACATTAATAATAGCCCTTGGGGGGACTTTGTTGAAACAGATATAAACAGATCCCTTATTTCTCACTTTTGAGACAAGTTTCTCAACTTGAGAAAGTGATTGAGGACACAGAATAAATGAACAGGAAGCACTCAGTTTGTGAATGAACAGGGAGTTTCTGTATTGAGGTATAATAAACACGAGGGGGGGATCAATTCTCCAGATTAATGGGATCCTAGACAGGACAAGGGGTGATTGGAGCAGCAGAAGGAGGGGGGCATTACCTCAGCTGACAGACTGCAGGAGGAAGAAGAAAAGAAACCAGCTATGCTACAGGGAGGGGGAATTGCCTGCACCATAAAGCTGCCTGCGCCCCATACAGGAGGGCCTGTGCTACCCCCATGACTAGTGCACCAGAGATAGGTTCCTCCAGACCCCACTACACCACCATTACCCTTCCCTACCAACCCCCTTTACTAATTATACTTACAGAAAACATAACACCAATTTTTGGAGTAAAAAATGGCCAACACGGCCTTTTATTAACAAATCAAGTTTAAATACACCAGCCATTCCTTATAACAGAAACATAAAGAGTTGTTGTTGGTCTTCGAAGGCACCCAAAATTATCCGAAATGCACCTGCGGACAACCATATTACACTAGGCCTCCAGCCGCAACCAACCAGCTCAGAGACAACCATACCGTCCGCAGTGCAGCACCACCACCTTCCAGTTAAACCTCGGTTAACTGGAATGTCCCTGGGCACACCATACCACCGATGGGTCCCACACCATTATTTGTACCTTCCAAGATAAGAACTGCCTCCAAAGACCAACAACTGCCACAGCACGCTGGGTAAGCCCTTACCCATGCGTGCCACGCCACAAACGAACTGCCCTCTGTACTCCGTCCTGTAGATGCAGGGACCCTAAATCCGTCCCAACCGCATTCAGATGCACCCCATCACTCCAAAGATACTGGCAAGTATCCACCTCCAACTTCAAGTGCCGGACCACCAACCCCCCATTGCGAATAAAGAAGCGCCCCACCTCCTTGTTGACCTTGATCCGAGCCTTGTTGAGCCACTCCACTGACCGCGCCAAATGCCAAGAGGTGCGGGCGACCATGTCTGACCACACCACCACCATCTCCGAATAATTCCTTCGTAAGTGAAGAAAGTCCAGCTTGACATCCCGCACCAGCTCCCGCATGGACCTAACCCCTAAGTCATTTCCACCTGCATGAAGCACCAGAACATCCAGTGGTCTATGCAGGCGAGCAAAACTCTGCACCTCAGTTAGCACACGACCCCCACAACATACCCGGCACACCTATCCAGCGGACACAAGCCTCCTGCCTAGCCAACAACAGCTGCCTGCCATTAGCCTCAAATCAGCCCGACTGGCCCCCCAAAACACGTAGGAGTGACCCAGGATCCACACCAGGCACACCGCTCCATCTGAAAGAAAAGGACAAATCACTACAACCAGAACAATACATACAGAGTCGGGACAGACTCCCCCCCAGCCCAGAGACAAACAGAACACGGGACTCACCCACTAGTCCCCCAACAGATGCGGACGAACGTACAAACAAAATCTCTGTGAATCCCACCTACCAATACGTTTTACCACTTCATCCAACAAACCTCACCGGGCAGCCTCCGTAGCAGCCCCTATCCGAAACGAGTGCGAAGCATACAAAGACGCATCCAAACCAACAGCCGTTAAACACTGTAGAAAAACTGACACAAATTGAAAGCAAGTTAAAGGAGACCCATCAGCATGCATGAAAAAAGACCCCTGCCCCACCGGACGACGGGACAGAAACTCCCGAACCAAACGCACCGGACACACCAGCGATGCTGGAAGAGCAAAAAAAACGCACCCGCGCACCACGACCCAATTGGTCCGTCTTAGACCGACGGACGAGCACCTCAACCCATTCACCAGAGCACATGACTTCATCCATAAATAACCCCCAAGAACCGATTTGGATGGACTAACGAGTTCACCAATATGCAACACCCCAAAAAAGGCCAATGCAAAGGCCGCCCAAAACAAGCACACCTCGAAATCCGAAGAACACACAGACCGCAGATGCGCAAACAAAGACCCCAACAACTCAAAGGACACCGGACGACTGGAATCCCTACAGCGATGAGCCCTATGGTAACCCCGAAGGGCCTGTCGAACCCAAAGATCTTTTGTGAAGTCCTGAGATCCTTGTAACTTAAAGAAGAAGGCCAAACCAGCCAGCCGGCGGTCCACTGCAGCAGCCGACACTCCCCGCTCGCCAAGAAGTACAACACTGCCAAACCCACCTCCGGCCCCCATGGATCAATATCGACCCGTTGTAGCAGGTCCAGCCACTCCCGCCAGACCTTAGAGTATGCGGACCATGTCGCCTCACTCACCGAACGCCAGATCCAGCCTGCCACGACCCCAAGGCAATCTCCCACAGCCAGTCGGGACAAGGAACCCCACGTTGCTCCGCTGCTGGCGCCAACTCTCAGAATTTGTCCCACTGAAAACGAGACAAAGCATCAGCCAGAGTGTTATCAACCCCAGGGAGATTCACAGCATGGAGAAAAACGTTCAGCTGCAGGCAACGCAACACTAAATGGCGAAGCAAGCCCACCACTGGCCGCGAGGAAGCGGAGACCCGATTGATGACCTGAACCACCCCCAAATTGTCACAGTGAAAACAAACCTTTTGATTCCGAAAATTCTCCCCCTAAACCTCAACCGCCACTGGAA